ACACACACACACACACACACAGACACACACACACACACACACGCGCACGCGCGCACGCACGCACGCATGGCGCGCGAACGCACGCACGCACGCACGCACGCACGCACACATTCCTTGTTTTTCATTTACTGCATGTTAGTTAATTATTAACTGAATCCTATATCCTATCCTATAGGGGAAGACACTAGTGTCTAAGATACAGTTATTACAACTAGTTTAGAAGTCAGGGTTCCATTTAATTGTTAAAAGATTTGAGGCAAATAACTAATTTATTATGTATATAGCGATATAATAGACTGCATGTTTAATATATTTATTAAATTATTTTTATAATATATATATTTATGTGTCAGATGATCCTAAGTCATGTTCTCTTACTTTTGTTTTAAAAATTTATAGTATTGTCGCCTCATCTGTACATCGTATTTCATCCCACTAAAGGGCCTGGGACGAACGTCGAACAAAGGTAGCAGAAACCAATTTGTTACGTGATAATATGCCCCCTGCCCGCGTCCCCTTTGTTTTCCACACCCCCCTCCGATACGAAATGAGTCTTATTTCAGCTTGAAAACTTCTCGAGCTCTCAAATATAAGGTAAAACATTTCTCTCGTCATCCGATTGTTCTTAACAAGTACGATGTCGATTTTTTAAGGAACAATCTACATTGTGTTCGCTAAGTGATTTTTAGGACCTTGAACTCAGCATTTCGGCAACAATCAATAAGAGGTTCCGAACCTAAAACTTTTTAATGTCAAAGTCCTTAACCTTAACCTTTAGGTTATTGACGCTTTTATCGCAACTCGGAATAGTTTTAGATTAACTTTAGATTGGGAACTAAATATATAAAAATAATGGCAACAACTCCGTCGACCCTAAGTAATGGAATAAAAGAGAAAAATAGCATGAGCAAATCAAAATCAGAGTCACATAAATTACAACAGACGCGAGTATAATATAGTATATTATAATATAATATAGTATCGTACCACATACTGCTATCTAAGATCGTCGAAGTAACTTTTGTAACAATATGGCCGGGTATGGAGGAAGCATGAAAACTGAACAATAGCGCAAAAAGCGGAATAGTTTGAATCGCACGAATTGTGGTCCTCGAGGAGAATATACTGAATAAAGTGGACAAAGTTAATAACGAGGATGCGTCCCATTGAGAGATAAAATGCGAGGAGTAAATATTACTTTTGAATATTTTAAGACCGGGCTAATATGGACGTTAAATTTTTTAAAGCTTTGTAATAAAGACTTTTATTGTAAATATAAAAAGAAAACCGTAACAAAAGGAAGGTTGGGAAAATAAAAAGAAATTAAATAAAATCAAATCGTGGAAATTGTCGAATTGAGTTAATTTTAAAAAAGGACTTCAGTTTTGCTTAAATTTATTTAACTGTATACGTAGGTTTATATGGAAAGGATTTTCTCTTTTTTTGCCTTTTTTAATTAATTAGGGATGAAGATAAGATGTGAATCATCAACATCATTAGTTAATTGATAGAATCAGGCGTTACTTTGCGGAAATCCATCATAACAATTATAATAAAGATATCAATTTGCAACCATCCGCTTAATTAACTACAATGATGTGTCTTACCTGGATTGAAGAGCACCTCCCGCCCTCCCTCAATTGCGTGCACTAATCCCGATACCACTACTCCCGGCATCGCTACTACGCACTTATAAGTGACTTAGCGGTCAGCCGCCGTAGAGTCTACATCATCTGAAGATGCCTCGTTGAGAGGCGAAACACGTGTCGTGTTGTCGTCGATGGTGTGTCTTTTCTGGAATAGTGGTATTGGGAGTAGTAGTGGTAACGGGATAGTATGTAAGTAATCTACTGCTGGTCTAAGTGTTATCTTAAATATGGAAACAGTTGCTCTAATCGTCAACTTAGGTGAACGGATTTCAATTAAACCAGATGTCTCTTTTGCGTGCTCGACTCTTCACACCGTGATCGATCTAGGTATTTCAAAATAATAATCATAAAAGCACAGTACTTGTCATCTGAATTCTAGATCTTTAGAAGAAAAGGAAGATTTGAAAAAGGTATTCTTCAATATCAATCATACCAATCATTTTCGTAATATTGGAGCATTAACCAGCTAATACGCCATCTGATGCCAGCTACCGCAGCGTAATGAGGCCTGCTGCTGATGTACTGCATTTGCAACAAACTTTTAATGAAGAATAAATAACACACGCGTTGTCACCACGCAGAGAGGTCTATAATATCTTATAGTCTGTTTTTTTATATAGAACATAGAATAATAACACCTAGAACGATAGTTCCCTACAAAGCGGACGTTCTTAAGTGAGGCAAAAACAAAATCGATGTGTGCGTAAGCCACTTGTGTTTACGCTAGACGAAACGCACTCAAGTGAAAAAATAATTTTGCCAATACATTAAATTTTCCCCAAAAGTAGGGAAGTTGAAACTATATTGGACTAATAGTTACGACGTAACGTATGACTGATACAAATGTGAAAATAAGTTTTTTGAATTCTGTTATCGAAGTGTAGCCCGCCAAATTCAAAATATTCTTGAATAGCGCATTTGCCTGTCTAGCCAAGTGAGATTTTTATGAGTCATCGAAATGTGATTGCATCATATTTTTCTTTGTTACTGTATAGATTATAATAAATGTATACGTTATAATTATATGACTAATGCAAGTTCGATATACACACCCGCCCGATACCCGACACATGACTGTTCGACGAACGATTGATCGAATTCGAAGTATATATTTTTCAGTTTGTTGTAATGGTGTACCGCACCTCACTGCATGCATGATGTAAGCTACATTACGAAAAACACAAGATCATTTTAATTTTGGCAGGTTTCACACAGTAGATGCGTTTCAGCTTAAAGTGATTGGGAAAAATTTATTAGAAAAACACAAATAAAAATTAAAATCATTTATTTCAGTAGCCTTGTAACTGCAACTGTTTCCTGAATAACTGACGCTTTGATGATACGAATCGTAAAGTATTTTCTTTTTTGGATTCATAGAACAGTGTAATTCTTAAGTAGCGCTCGACAATAAGTCTCATCAAATTCGTGTCATGGAAGTGGGAGTTAACGTGTTCTATAGAAAATATACGAGTTCCTCCTATGAATCTTCTCATAATTAGAAGTGTGATTTCTTTTTCGGAAATATTGCCTGGATTTTCTTTTAGATAACGTCTCAGAACAGTTTCAATAACACTACAAATAGAATAAACTTCTTTTGAGGCGTAAACCAATCCACCTTTATCCCTCATACATACTAATTTATGGAACCAAAGTTTCTCTTTTGCAAGCATGTTATCAATGCAATATTTACATTTTACTCGGGTTGTGAGATGTCTAGCTACATTTCCAGCTATATAGCCAACAATGTGGTTTCTGCAGTTAGGATCATCGCTACCCGATGAAATTTCGAATCCGACATCATTTGGAATCGGTGTTTTCAATAAGTGTTCTGTTAATTCTTTTTCTTCATCATCAAATCTTTCGGAAAATGAAGTATTATTGATGCAAGTTAAAGCAGATGAACATGTTAAAATAGGTATGTTTTCGAGTGGCACGCAGTTACCAGTTTCACTTACTTGCAGTTCCATGCGGCAGAGCAGTTTTCTGTAGCTACCCTTAAATTGTAGAGCGTTTGGATTGTCATTATGTCCGCTTTGCATTCTTATCAATCCAAAAAGTAGCTCGATATGGTCCTGGCTCAACCTGTAGGTTGTAATATACTCCAGTTCTTTTGTATCTTCAACTAAGGTATTATATAAGTACTTAAGGCTCTCTATGCAAACTAACAATCCTTTAAAGCCAGGAGAGCACTTTACAGTAAGGGCCGATTGGAAGCTTTTGATTTTGAGATTTATTGAACTCTCTTTTTCATTGTATTTGCGCTTTCTAGTAGTTTTAATCTTTAAGTGAAGTATATATTTTTTGGTTTTCTCTAAAAAATCAAATATTTCCTTTTTATTAGAATTTGAAAGGGGATGGCAAAAACCATGTTGTGTTAAACTTCTCGTATTAAAAATGTCGAACAGGTCGTTGAAAATCATGATAAAATTTTCTGTGCCCTTACTATTCTTGAAATCGTCCAATTTCAAGACTTCGCGGCAAAATTTCAGTGCCACTGCTACACTTCTGCTAAGTAGTTGAACTGCTAACTTTATTTTCATAATAGAGTTTCTAAACTCGAGATGTTTACGCGTTAGTTTATTAGCAATGTGTAAACCTTCTTTTTCTTGAAAGTCATTTAATTTTGTTAAAAATTCCCAGTCCACTTTATTTTCATCTTGGTCTAAGAATACTTTTTTGTCTTCGAAATGATTCCGAACCAGTTTGATCATATGACTGGAATCTAAAAACACCGCTACCTCGTTATTAGCTGCTGGGTGTTTGAATGTAGTTTTCATATTCTCTACGTCCTTTAGTCGGCATCCTAATAATTCCATGGCTGATATATTTGTCGAATGTGCGTCAAATGTCAGAGCAACCACTTTTACGCCTATCTCTTCACATTTAGTCAGGCATATTTTTATCAGGTTAGCTTTTTACCCCCCGGTAAGACCATGCACCAAAAAATATCCCAATGGGATCTTCCAGTGTTCATTCAAGCACACAAGAATAAAAGTATAAGCTTCCGTAGCCTTTGTTGTACAATCAGATGTACCTGTGCCAATGTCTACACGCCCGTGGCCTCCTTTTATATTTTGTGGTCGTATTGCCATTTCATCTGCCACTAAAGCACATATTAATTTCTTCTGTGTACATTGTAATACTTTCGATTTCAAAATATGAAATGCTTCGTCTGTAAAACCAGGGGAACCATTTATGGTTTTATACCAGTTGTAAATAGTTTTCGGATGTGGGAGGCAAGTATTAAATATTTTACGAACATAGATGTAAGCTCGTGGCGAGTAAAAATGCAAGGTTAGACAGAATTTTCTAAATTCTGGAGTGTATTTAGGCATCGGTCGTTTTTTATCTTTACATATTTTTTTTAGCTAAGCTCTTGTATAAATCTGCTGCAAATACATTTTCCGACAAAATATTGGATATGTCATTATTAATATATCTTTTCTTCCGTAATTCTACTAAAATATTTTTAAGAGTGGCATTTCTTTTCTTTAAGCGTCGATTTTTTTGCTTCAGAGTCTTAATCTTTCTACTGTGTTTTTGTTGCAACAAGATCTTTTTTCTTAGTTGTCTCCGTAGTGAAGCCTTTTTAGGTGAATCGAAAATAGAATCTAGTTCTGAAGATAAAGGTGTCATTGAAGCGCTTAGATTAACATTTTTGTCCATCTCACAACCTGAGGCTTCCTGAAAAACATTTATACAAATTAATAAAGTAGTAAGTACGTATCTGCCCCACATACTGATTTACTGGTAGAGAATGCCATAAGGCATAAAGTCCACTGTTTATGCGTCTTATTCGTGCAATAAAGAAAATATAAATAAAAATAAGCCAATAGCTACTCGTCAATCGACATAATAATTTACTGTTAGTTTAGTTCCTATATTATTATTATTTTACTACACAAAAGGTGGACTGAACGCTTATTGGCATTCCCTACCATTAATTTTATTTACATTATGTGACTATGATGATGACTATGACTTAATAAAATACTGCACTAGAAAAAATCGACTGGTATCGAGTGGGACTCGAACCCACGATCATTCACTAACCGGGCGACTGCTCTTCTTTTTCTCTTGTCGTGGATTCGAGTTCTGCTCGATACCAGTCGATTTTTCTACTGCAGTATTTTCTTTTGAAAATAATGGCATTGTGAATGCTTAAAACCACAAATAAATTATGTGACTTGGCTTTGTGTTGATTTATTAAAAACTTACCGGCTGAGGTTGATTTTGCTCTTGACTTAAATCATCACTCTTCTCTTCCGTGCTAAAAACGGGTAGATCCTAGAACACAAAAATTAAACGTAAGAAAAAAAAAATTAAAAAGCAATCCATATTAAAACAGTTTATAGGTATAGAGCGGAATTTTTTATACCTTAGTTGGAACTGCACCCTTGCGTAATCTACATAGGCCACCTTTAGTAATATACTTTACTTCATCCTCAAAATGTAAAGAACAAATTTTTGTATTTTTAGTGGGCTTCCAACTGCTATCATTTCGATTGCGTCTGATTTTTTCTGTCCAACGATCTGCAATGATCGGATCAGAAGGAAACCTAAAACGAAAATGAAACATTCATTTATTATCAGACCATATAATAAATTTCCTTAAAATTTATCATCGATACTTTTTAAATAAAAACAATGCGTTGTATTTTATTCAAATTTATTGACGTATTTTACTTTTAATTAAACGACAAAATGTGGGAGAATTTTTTTCACACTTTGGTAACATTTCCATATAATATCATGTGTCAGTTTTTAAAAATTCATATTTATTTTTGATGAATATTTTACGTAAAAATATAAGTTCAAAAGCACTACTTACACGTGAAATGTAATGTCACTATGTTTCTTGTGTTTCTCTGATGTATTGTGACATCCGTTCACTGCACAAACCGTCATTTTAATTAAAATTATGAGAGCTGTTGTCAACACGATACGACACTGAGCACTAACGGGCCGAGTATTGAACTGAGCCATACTGGCTTAGTTTAAGTTGCCTCACATTACGGACGCGGACTCGGCTTCTAGGTGTTATTATTCTATGATATAGAATAAGTGGATGCTGTGGCCCATGGACATCTACATTTATCCTCAAATAAGAATCAAAATGCAGATGCATTGTCAGTTCTGAGGACTGAGATGGAATGTCTTATTTCCAGTAAAAAGGGTCTCCGGTTTTCTACACTCGCCATACGAAACACAGCAGCATTAAGGTGCAATTTCGAACCCGACTGCAGACGGCAGCAGCCCGTGTCCAGTCTGTTCCGAGTGTTCAGTGGGACATGATGGCTGACGTGCTTGAAATTAGCGATCGCTATTTATTTTTGTATCTTTTGTTAGAAGAGGAAGATGATGATGACTTGCTTTTATTATACAAGTTTAAAGAGCAAAGACACACGTCCTATGTTGAAATGCAGAGGAAATGACGGAATCTTCCTCAGAATCGGTGAAACTCATTTTTTTAGAAAAATTCAACGTGTCGCTCGGGCGTTGGCGGCACTACTGATCTGCGGTCGGGCTCGGGCTACAGTGTCATCTGTTCTGCCGCTAGGCAAACGACGTGTCGCTAAGCACGGAACGTACTTCATAGAACTACATAGAAACCAGTTGTGTCGCGACGACACGTCGCTTGCTGCTGCTATCTGCAGTCGGCTGCGGAATTGTACCTTTACGCTGCTATTTTACACTGGTATTCTGTGAGAGCGTCTTTCTTACCGTTCAAACAGCAATGGATGAAATGTTCCATGATAACAAAAAAATAGGTACGGATGCTTAGCAAGCCGAACGGAACACCTTGAAAGTTATTAACGACGCATTCCATCTTAATCTTGAAGGTAACCAAACGTTCTTAATAGGGAATGGAATTAGGTGTCTATAGGCCACATCGTCCATTTGCTAACAGACAGACTGTATCTGATTGTTAACCTTATTTGTATTAGAAAATAATGTTTATTTCAATGACTTAAATCGCTAACTCTAACACTTAATCTCAATTTCAAATACGAATGTTCAAAACAACATTAAATTACTCTCCACTTCACGTGAGGTCTTAAACTTTAACGCTATTATTCTGTAGATGGGAACGTAAATTCGAAATTCCAATAAAACGGCAAGGGAAACCTCGTCTTACAGCCAATATTGCGTTCCCCCGACATTCTATTCAACCAATATTTGTCAAAGGCCAAATCACCTCTATAGGGCATACTGGGCGGGGTTATGCCTTATTCAAACGTGTATGTATATATATAGTAGACAGGAATCGCTTCGCAAAGTAGGTGACAATTTGTAAGAGCTACTTGTAAAGTGAATTTGTGTTAAGCTAAATAAATTTGTTTCGAGTGTTAACACTCAAGATCAATATCGCAATTTTTGTTTATGCCCTTTTTTAACTCACCGTGGTAGTTCAAGGACTAAGCGCCCGCTGTAAATTTCACACTACGCGAGCAACCCGGGTTCGATCCCCGCAGGGCACCAGTGAAATTGCTCATGCTCTGGTGCAGGAAAATATCGTGTGATAACCTGTATGTCTGATAAATAAAATTGAAAAAAATATTTTTCGAAGATACGTAAAGTACACCAACACGCATTGAGACAGCGCGGTGGACATTTCCTTGCCATAAAACCCTCACAAATTGTAACATTAACTTTTTTTAACTCACAATAATATCAAATTCTGTCATATCAAGGATAATGTCCACTACGTTATTTAATGGAATAGAATACTATCCTTCGCACGTATTCAACGTCGAATCAGTCACCATGATACATACTTTTTTTTTCAAAACGAAAACAATCGCGTTCACAATGAAAATTTGATACTTGACAGTCTCTAGTCAACACGGTGATTGATAACGTTATTGTTGCCAGTAGTCGAAATTAATTTCGTGAATATCAACAATATGGCAAAAGATTTTATTTTCTATTCGGGATAAAATTATGTAAATATCTAATAATGAAGTTTAGATCTAAGACCTGAACTCAGCCGGATAGCGTGCGAGAAATTATGACAAATCCTATCGTTTAAGGTACACCAGAATTAATTTCACAACCAGTGTACACGTGTAAAATCATTAATGATAAAATAGAATAGAATCATTTTATTCAATACGAATTATAAGAATGCTTATTGAAAGTAATGTAAGCTTTACCACTGCACTGGTTGGGAAAAAAACCTCTGTTCTAGAAAGAACCAGCAAAAAACCCAACGGGACTTTTTTTTAAATAAAATTAATTTGCAATATATTATTTTATACAATTAATATGAAAATATTTAGAAACAACTTGGTAGCGAACACCTCCTTCCTAGGAGTTATCGCCTCAGTTCCAGTCTGAAGGTGGATCTTTTCGCTGGTCTGATGAGGAAACTACAAGTCACTCAGCGAGATACTAAAACAAATTGGTTTTCCACCCAGTTCTGCTATTAGTTTTACGTTAGTATAAAATATTATATTATGAAAATTAATATTTTTCCTTTTTTTACTTATACCAACCAAAATAAACCAAATACGTAATATGTATACATCAAAGTAAATTAAAAATAAACCATAATTATCATTTAAACTCACTCCTTACGGTAGTTATAGGGTATCTGTAATAAAATTAGAGTAATAGAAACATTCCAGCATCGCATACCGCAAAGACGATTTGCTCAATTTCGTCGCTCAAGTCTAAATACTTTGAACAATCTACTGGTAGCACAAGCGCGTTCATATAGATGAATGGGCTACCTGGTAAAGTACATAAACATAAACATAAACACTCACGCCTGTCACCCAGAGGGGTAGGCAGAGACTACAGACTTCCATTTGGCACGATCCTGACACACCTCTCTCGCCTCCTTCACATCCATACACCTCCGCATACATGCTCGTCGGTTAAGGGTACTCCTAATTTGGCCCGTTTTCAATAAATCGCCAATTTGGTCGATAAATTTTCGCCTAGGACGTCCCTTTCCGACTCTGCCATTCACTTCTGCAACATAAATTTTCTTTGTCACTCTTTCCTCATTCATTCTTTCCACATGACCAAACCACCGAAGCATTCCTTTCTTAATCCTGGTCACAACATCATCTTGCAAACCACACTCTTCTCTTATTACACAATTTCTTACCCTGTCATTAAGATTCAGCCCTAACATACTCCTTAACGACCGCATTTCTACTGCGTTCATTCTACTCTCGTGCTTCTTCTGCCACACCCAACTGGTGTACAATAAAGTATATTTTACTTTACTTTACTTTACTTTACCAGTTTTTTTTTTTTTTTTTTTTTTTTTTTTTTTACAATATAATAGAAAAACTGGTAAAGTAAAGTAAAGTAAAGTAAAATATACTTTATTGTACACCAAGGAACATATTACATTATTTATATATTTAAAGGGACATTGGTACAACAGGCGGCCTTATCGCTAAAACAGCGATCTCTTCCAGGCAACCTTAGGGCAGAGGATACTATTTTAAAAGATAGCGGAAGGGGTGTACAGAATATGATAAAGAAAGATAAATAGAAGAACATAAATGATTAAAGAAAAAGAAATGAATGACGACAGGTAGTAACTTAAGAGGAAAGGTAATAAAGTTTTAATTTATTTTTAAATATAGGAAGAGATTTAGATTTTTTAATATGTAAGGGGAGAGAATTCCATAGTCGTATAGCGGTAACCGTAAAAGAATTAGAATAGAAGGAAGAGGAATGACTAGGGGTACTTAGAAGGAGGTTATTTTGAGATCGTAGAGGTAAAGAGTGTAAACTACTTAAATATATAAATCGGTCTTTCAAATAAGAAGGAGTGGTCGGGTTGAACAGAATGCAGTTAAGAAGATGAAGATTGTTAGTATTCCTGCGAAGACGAATCGGGAGCCACTTGAGCTTATGGCGGAATTCGGATATGTGGTCATACTTTCGTAACCCAAATATAAACCTTATGCAATAATTTTGAAGCCGCTCAAGTTTATTAAGTTGCTCGTATGTTAGGTCAAGATAACAAGTGTCCGCGTAGTCAAGGATCGGTAAAAGAAGAGACTGAGCCAGCGCAACTTTAGTAGGAATGGGGAGAACATTGCGTAATCTTCGAAGTGAACCAACTGCGGCAAACATTTTTTTACTTATTTCACTAACTTGCGGTCCCCAAGACAAAGTCTGATCGAACATAATACCTAAATTCTTAACTTTGTCACTGTATGGGATAAGTGTCCCATCGAATATGATTGGCGGGAGCAGCGACAAAGTTAACCGAGAGATTAATTTCGAACTCCCAATAATAATGGCTTGAGTCTTCAATGGATTAACTTTAAGCCCAAATGAATTACACCAAAGAGAAATACGAATAAGATCTTCATTAATTAAGCTAATTGCATTGGGGAGATCCGCAATCTTACATTGAGAGTAGATTTGTAAATCGTCTGCATATAGGTGGTAAAGAGAAGTTATGTGGGAACAGATCGAATTGATGAAGATAGAGAACAATAGAGGAGACAACACGCCACCTTGTGGGACGTGGGACGCCAGCTTTGACAGCAGACCAGTCAGAAAACGTGTCTTGAATTTGTACACGTTGCCGGCGCCCATGCAAGTAACTATGAAACCAACCAATTACTTCAGGAGATATGTTAAGAGAACTTAGGACAGCGAGTAAAACATCAAAGTCTACAGTATTGAAGGCATTACTAAAGTCAAGCAATGTCAATACTGTAACCTGCTGACTATCCATGCCCAGGCGAATATCATCAGTGATTCTAACCAAAGCCGTAGTCGTACTATGACCGGGACGGAATCCAGATTGGAATGAATTCAAAAGGTTATGATTGGACAGGAATTTGCTCAGCTGTTGGTATATTAGGCGCTCGAGTACTTTAGAGAGAAAGGAAAGGATGGATATAGGACGGTAATCCTCATATGTCGGATTAGATTTTTTAGGGAGTGGAGTTACTAGGCCGTCTTTCCAGGATGAAGGAAAAACACTGGTGTCAAGGGAACGGTTTAAAATAAGTGTAAGTATAGGAGCTAAAAGATCGAGTATTGGGATAATCATCTTACGACTAATGCTGTCAGAACCAACTGCGTCGGAAGTAATGGCTAATATATTCTTCTTAACATCACTGACAGTAACTTGGCTAAAGACAAAAGAGGATAAATTGGGAGTTGATATAGCAGAAAGTTGAGCAAGTGTATTTTTCTTCGTAGCACTGTCTATAGTGGCGCTAGAGAGGAAATGAGCATTAAGCTTATTTAAATTCAAATTAAGAGATTCTACATTACGCTTTGCTTTTCCAACCCCTAAAGATTTGAGAAAGTTCCAAACTTTAGTTGAGTTATCTTCCTCAACAACAGATTTATGGATATGGCGTCGTTGACTATCTCTACACACCATATTGCAGCGATTTCGTGCCCTGTTATATTTCTCTCGGTTAGAATCATTAGGATTCATACGATATTTAGATTTCGCTATGTTCTTTTTTTCTTGAAGTTTTTTTATATCGGCAGTGAGCCAGGGGGCAGGAAGATGCTTCATTCGAACTGGACGAATTGGAGCGTGAATGTCATACAGTTGTGTAAGTATGCTGTTAAAAATAGATATCTGCTCATCGACCGAACCAGCATTCGCAACTACTGACCAGTCAACCTTAGCAGTATCTTCTCGTAACTTATCCAGGTCCATTCTACTAAAATTGCGCCGGAGAAGGATCCTTCGCTTAGCCTTAGGAGGTTTTAATTTATAGGACAGGTAAAGTAGATCATGGTAAGAAAAAGCGGAGGCATTGCATTGACCATGCTTTGCAACATGGTCAATGGAAGAAACAAGTATTAAATCAAGGAGAGAAGGTACACAATTAGGAAAAGCATGAGTTGCTGAAAGTGGGAGAATATGTAAGTTAATGCCATTAACAAGAGATTTCAGACGGGATGCTCTAACATCATTTTTGAGAAGACAAGTATTGAAATCTCCCATGACAATAGTGTGATTATAAAGCGAGGAGTATTGTTCTAAAAGAATTTCAAATGCTGAAAAATAATCAATTGTAACATTTGGACTGTAATAGACACCGAGAAGAAGCTTTAAATGTCCAAACAATATTTCGATGAATAGGTGTTCAGGGCCGGCGCTAGACACTGGCTGCGAAGTATTTAAAACTGTGTAAGGAATGTGTGATCTTAAATAAATCGCCACGCCACCGCCAGCGCGCCCAAGGCGGTCGTTGCGAATCAAGTGGAATCCGGGAAGAGAGTAAGATATTGAAGGCAAACATGGTTTTAACCAAGATTCAGAAACTAATATCGCATGTATATTTTCATTATAAAATGAGGACAACATGTCAGGATAATGTGCGGGAATACTCTGGGCATTTATATGAACAACATTAAAGTTGTCTGGTCTTAACTATTTTTCTTTTATATTGTTATAGCCACGTAGCTGATCGTGGATCTCATCGGATCGGGTGGTCGTTCTTTCGTTCGTTTGTCCGTTTCCAGCTGTCCATGGACTGCAGTAGTTAATTATCATCAGTTAGTTAGCATTTGTAGCATACTAATCTGTATATATAAAAAATAATATTTCCTTGTTTGTCCCATATGTGATCCTATTGAATGTCCTCCTGAGTTGATTTCAATAAAGACCAATGTGTGAGCAATTATTTTTTTTGAGATTTTTTTTCTGAAATATAATTTTGACTCGACTCTGGGACCTGGAACCTCATCGCGACTTAAACGTGTTCCTATAATAATTATACGATTACGATGAAACTTTGGTTAGTTATTGTGCACACGCTCGCGAATGTTTCTAACATAGGAAACAATTACAACAAAGATGTAGTATCTTAAAAATGCATGTAACTTTGTACATTTTTGCCATTGTGTAGGACAAAAATCTAACTGGAAATTTCAATATTAAAAATTTTTCTTTAAACAATATTCCCGCGCATATCAAGCCGAAAACAAGCTTGAAATTAAAAACAGCCGATCGTCGGAACAAAAACTAGTTACCCACTCATTTTAAATATTGAAGGTAATCATCCAGTATCATTGTTCGTTTACTGAAATTTCTCATTCTGTTTTTTACTTAAAATATTTAAAATTATAACGTAGTCGCAACTTTAGGTAAATCTAATGTTTATATTACTTGAAGAAAATTTGATATACTGATAGAATATTAAATTTTAGGTCTCCTCCAGAGATTGTGTCTTAGAGAAGATATATACCATAGTTACCAGCTGTAGTTGACAGGTTAACTATGACATCGGTACGTCAAAAACCTCAGTCCTCTCGTGAACATGGGTGCTGTAAACCAATCGAAGTTAAATTAAACGTACAGATGTTATTAACCTGTATAATTAGTTTTATTCAATCCTAGTCTAATTACAAACGATATTTCATCGGTAATTATTCATATATTCCTTCATCAATATTCCATGCCTTTAGAAGCAAAGTTTTTTCACCAAAGATTAAAAATTGATTGCTTCGTGCGCAACAAAATCGAAATGCCGCGCTGTCGAGTGTCGATTTTTCGAAGTGTCTACTTCATTTGTAAAATCATTTCCAATGTAATTTGGAATTCAGTTTTCAGCATTCGAATCGGAAAATTTATTAAATTCGCTGCGAGTACCCTTCCGTTCGGTAATGATGGCGACCGGCCTG